CTAAATTCTCAAAGCTCTCCTCCTAGCTCTGGTTCAAAAAGTCACAACCTCTTCATAGTAAATGGCACAATAGCCAAACCAGAAAATCCATCATAAACACATACGAACTTAGTGACCCAAAGGCATAAATAGGCAAGCACTGCAACAACTTGAAGAAATGAAAAACACAGCAGAAAACTAGTCACACTTTCTTTTGGCTTTCATGTGCTTCTTTTAAATATGCAAAACAGTCAGTCATGGTCTCTGGCACATTAGTAGTGAAGTAACCAAATGTGGTTAAATGATAGGGTTCCCATCTCATCAGAGTTAACGTGAATGTCATAGATCATTTTGCAAAACAGTCAAACCAAATGATCATGATTATATCCATACCAATAACTGTAACTCACCAAATGCTGAAATTTCATCTGAACCAGATCAGAGTATTGATGTTCATTTGGAAAAACCCTGTCTCTCTTTGTAATCAATGATTTTCAGAAAATCAGAAATATTTAGGAGACAGAACTAGGGCTTTCTTCACAGTGATCTTAAAAACTAACAAAATCAAATCTTTCCAACATGGAACTGTACCAAGCAGAAAACTCTCTCGTGTTCATAATCATGTGCAGATGCAAATCTTTCACTCTAATGAAATAATGATACCCGATTTTCTGCAGTTTTATTGACAAATAATAAGAAAAGCTATTTAAATGGGTGTGGCAGGGTGAGGGTTAAATCTGATTGTAATTAGATTGCAGCATGCATGGTCATGTGGTTAATAGTAAATTTTCCTTGATTAACTGATCCTGTTTGTTAAGAGCTCCTATTAACATTAGTGCTCTCCGTATTGGCTGTAGAGACACACCATGGACCAGTGCAAAATTAATGAAGGCAGGTACGCATGCTGATTAGAATGTGGCAGTTTAATAAACTCTTCCAACATTAAATTATTTAATGCATTCATGCTCATGCAGGCTATTCGATGGTCAGCTTGACCACCTATGTGTTAATATTGGGAATTGAAATGCAGAGAGTGGAAGAGATATAGTGGTGTATGAGGTAATTAGCTCTCATGTCTGATAAATGGGGCAATACCTATGTGTGCGCATGTTTTAGCACACCACAAATGGTGCTTTCATTAGCCGGAATCTTCTGTAGAAATTTTTATAAATGTTTAGCTTGATTTTTGCACCATAAACAGTGGATCTGATCGCTATAGTCATTGTCAGTTGAATATTTGAGGCAAATATCAGTCAGCTATAAAGTAGGCTGTCTTGTTAAAATAAATAGGTAACAAAAATTAGATGGGAAGCTTATCAATAAACATCTCCAATCTGGACATAATCTCTATCTGTCATATAGGAAATACTTTATATAAATATAAATGATCTCAATATATAAATGCAAATATCTATTATATTTTCAGCAAAGTAATAAAACTTTACATTTGTACAATGCTCTGTAGTTTATACAATGCTTGCACATATGTTATGTTATTTAATCCTAATCATAGGCATTTTAGGTGGATAGTTTTTGCTAATAAGTAGCCAGTGTGAGCCTTAAAATCACAATCTTTATAACTCAAAGTCCAGAGCTTTTAGCACAATTGTACAGCTGCTTACGAAGCTAATATTTGTGGGAATAAACTATTTACAAATTAAGTTAATTTTTAACATTAGGTGAACATTCTGAGAGCTTAACCTCTCTTTGAACAAGATGCTACTTAGATGTGGTGGAAACACAAAAGAGAAATTTTCTATATTTTAACACTATCTAAATATACATAAATATTTTAAATGACTTATATTTTCCCAGACTCTAAGATACGTTCTGGTTGTATTTTAGGCATTCACAGGAACTTTCCTAGCACTCGCATGGCATTCAATATGCTAACATAGAACAATCCAGACTTGGACCTTGGAGACAGGGTAGAAAGTATGAACTTTGGTGAGGTCACCAACAAGTCTAGGTTTACTGAATTACAAGACAGCCCACTATAAAAGTAAGCCCTGGGAGAATGGTTGAATGAATTTCTCAGTCTGGGGATTTCTATGAAGAAGAAAGATTCTTTTGCCAATGCTGCCTCGAGTTCTTCTGCCATTCTTAGGATGCCGGCTAAAATAGGGATAAAATGATTCTTGACCTAGCAAAATCAAAGGAGAGTAGCAAGGAAGCCGGGAGTAGCATAAGAAGCCAGGATGGCAAATCTTTCTTGTAGTTTTGGACATCCTTAGGAACTGGCAGTCTGACTTTGAGCAATCAGGGGCCTTGATCTTTTCATATGTAATTTAGAGAATTGGAGAAAGTGAACTCTCAAATTCTTTGGATCTCTGAAAGGCCTTCTAATTGTTTCTTACCAGGAGAAAAGATGCCAATGATCTTTTTTGGGCATCCCCCTGAGTACTAAAAGGAGCCATGAAATACTGTGGCAGACAGAAAGCACCACCTTGAACTGCATGTTCTGTAATCTCCCCTCTCCTGAAGGCCTGAATGGTAATTTGGGGCTTTGGCCAGCCTCAGATATCACTATGAGCCTTAGCCAGCCCGGATGGTCTGATTGAATTCCTCCTGTTGTTGTTTTTTGTCTCTGGCTAGCTTCAAAGGATACTGTGTTCATGAATTAACATTGTTCCCTTCGTTAGCAATTATAACGTTGGTTGCAGTATCATTGGTGCCTGTCCTTACTGTTTCCTGTGGACAATGTGGCCAGTTGTTGATGTCTGGCATTTCTTATAGGTGGTTGGCAGCTATGTGAATACTATAACTTACAATAGGCTTTCCACAACATTGTCCTGGCGTCCATGAATTCTGAAGGCTGTACGCCCTGTCATCCCACTTTTTATAGTCATGGTGTGTTCTGACAAAATGGGTCATATTTTCCTCTGGATCAAGCAGTACATTTGTACAATTAGAAATATAAACAATTCCACCTTTACTGTATATTTTCAGCCAACAAGTAATATGGAAAAATCACTATTTTCTATCCATCTAAGTTTATTTATTCCAAATAAAAAGTATAGACTCTCAAAATAGCTCAAACCAGGTTTAATCTTTACTTTTTACTTTCATCCTTTGGCTGCTTTAAAAACTAGGCATAAGGAAGCATTTTAGGTGAACACCTGAAGTGGGAGAAGGCTATTCCGAAAAGAAGGCAAGAGCACACTCAAATGAGCTCAAAAAAACAACAGTAATTGAGCATTAAGAATGGCAGGATTGGATGGCTGTGGTAATGAAATGTGGTGAACATGAAAATACAACTATGATACTATAGCTTTCTTTAAAATGCCGAAGGGCTCAGGTAACTTTGTCAACAATATCAGTCCCTTTGCATCCTCTAATGCAGTATATTTACTATTTGTCAGGCATTTTGAATTCTTTTAACCTTCATGACCACTCAGTGAGATAGGAACAATTTTTACCCCTGCTTTACATGTTAGGAAACTGAGTCTGAGAAAGTTTAATCAACTTGCCCATGGTCACAGAGGGACAGAGACAGAGATAGAGTCTCAGTGCTCTTAATCCCTACAAATTGTGTACCTAAACCTGCATGGTCCAATATGGTAGCCACTATGTAGCTATTCAGCAGCTGAAATGTGACTAGTCTGAATTCAGATGTGCTGCAAGTGTAAAACCTGATTTTGAAGACTTAGTTTGAAAAAGAGAATATAAAGTGACTCCTTAGTAGTATTCTTCAATTGATTACATGTTAAAATTAATAATGTTTTGAAAATTTGGAGAGAAATTATATTATTAAAATTATTTTCACCTGTTCCTTTTCACTTCTTAATGTGTCTACTAGAAAATTTATATTATATTATATCATATATTAAATTTTATATAAAATAATATCATATATATAAATACTATATAGTGTGTATACATGTTTGCATCACATATATAATATTTTTATTGTTCCAATTTTGTTTTAAATACTGTCCACCATTAGAATATTTCATTTGTAGTAAGAGTTTCAAGGGAAAGAACAAAAAGGTGGAAAGCCATTGTTCTGACCCCAAAACATGATGCTCCCACCTCATGCTTTATGCTAATAATTTGATGTAGGATTCAGAATAATCGTTCATCAATAGTAACATAGTAACTATAAAACAAAGTTTGCTGCTTTATATTGTTTGCCATGGAACTTTTCTGATTTATGGCAGCAAACCATGTTGAAATCTTTTGAATGCTGGGAATTTCTGTCCAATTGTTGGCCAAACATCATGTGTCATGTGTAATTCCCACTCTGTGTTGGGGTCTGTAAGAGTAGACAATATGTATTATTTATCATTTTATAAAAGACTCAAATACAAGGAAAGCCCTTGGAAGAACATAATGATGGTAAACAGACTCTGGCCTGGACATGACCAGTGAGATTGTAAGTACTGGGGAAGAAGAGAAGGAAATCCCTCATGAAGTCTGGGAAAACAACTCATTTCAACCACAATTGCACAAATAATCTAAGAAACAATATTATCAACTAGAACATATTTATGTCACTTTTCACATGGAAGTTTCCCTATGGAAAAAAATAGTCAAAATTAAGTTTTCTGGAAATCTCTGTTGCTGACTGACCAAATGTATCTTATAAATGAGATTAATAAGTCAGCAAGTGTTATGAGGTACCAGCACTGGAAAGAAAAAATCTTGAAAACCACTGTGAGAAGCAACATCAAAAGCAGAGCCCATGAATTATACACTTAAATATTTAAACTCTCACAATGAGGAGATGACACATAGGAAAAACCATGAAGGAATGGGTTGTAAATGTTAATGGACATGGGTAAGAATTAATTAAATATATTAGACTTAAATATACCTTATGATTCCAGATATTGTAGAAGACTGAGATAGGTAGAGATAGGGAGACAGGTTTTAAACCTCCACTCACAAATTCCAATTTGATTTGAGAGGCAATCACATACTATTTTTAAATAATTGATCAAATAGAAGAATCCAAGTTTTAACTTTTTCTGAAGCAGTAAAAACAACAACAAAAAATCTTTAATGTTTTTTACCTCACCTCTAGCTAAAAACCAGCTGAATTTAAAACCAAATTTGGCAGGCACTTGATGGCATGCTTTCAGAATGATGTCTTAAAGATTAAGCTATGGAGCAATCCTTAAACATTAATGGAGGTCAGATGGCAAACTCCGTTCACACAAAAGAATCATCGTGTCCATCTCTCCCAATGTGTGTCTCAGGCTCTAAGCTGGAAGGATACAAAGAGATATTCTTATTCTTCCACCTCTTCTTTGAGTGTTAAGAACATCCTTTCAGCGTTTCTGTAGCACATCTAATTCCTCTCTAATACATTTTGCTGGCTTTGGTGTTCAATTTAATTTAAATCAGCAGAATAATCCAAGTGAATCCAGGTTGCCGTGATGTTACATTAGGAAGATCCTATCCATTTGCAGCTAAGGTACACCCAAATTCATTAACATTTACTCAGTAGGCTTCCAGCAGGTGACTTTATGAGGGGAAACAGATGCATCTGAATGTCACCTTACCACACATGTGATTATTATGGATTTTTGTTTTGTCCATATAATATTGCTGCATGCCATTCTAAGGGAATATGGATAATGGCATCAGTTTAATTTATTTTCCAATACACTGAATCACACAGAAATGTTCTCTGAGAGGCTTTGACAATTAAATGAGTCCAGATTTTGCACAGGCACAATGAGGATTGACCTCAATGGCTTTCTAAGTGCTAATTACTAAACAAACCTAAATGCAGTATGGCTCAAAGGGCTAAACCACAGATGAGGGCACTCAGAGGTTGTGGGTTCTAATCCCCACATCAGTAATATGACCTACGGCAAGTCTTCCTAGAACTGAAAAGCAAAAAGGAGCGGTCCAAGTGTCAGGCTTTTACACCAGGGCAAAAAACCTGGTTGGGGACCTCAAATGTAGGCTCTGTACATCCTGAAGAAACTTAGCCACTTGCTGAAAACAGCCTTTATAATTGAGTTACAGAGGCTAAACAAACCTAAAACAATTAGTAGACAAATAAAGTAAAACTAACTATAAAATGCTGACAAAAATGCAAAGAAAATTCTAAAAGCCCAGAGAATGAAGAGGTTTTGTGGGGCCCCTAGGCCTGTGGAACATTCAGAGTGACATTGTGATGGCGTAGAATGACTATACAACAGAAGTCGCAGCACCTTACTAGTTCTAAGGCCAGCACATCTCTGAACCATATTTTTCCTTCTTTATAAAACAGGAATGATAGCTCTTGGCCCTATCAATGTGCAAAATTGCTGTGGGGGAAACAAATGAGACCATGAGAACAAAAATATTTTAAATACATCTTCAAAAATATTTTAAAAGATCTACAAAGGTCTGAAGTGCTATAGGTGTAAACTGCTATGTGTTACTGGGCTGCTGGATTCGTTCATTAGAAAGGAGATCTGAAACAGCAGATTCAGCCTGCACATTGATAGCAGTTTGGGGCTGTGTGTGCGTGCCTCTGTGGGGGGAACCAGAAGACACCGTGGGCAGGGTGCTGCCGTGCTTGCTTCTATAGAGCGCTCCTGCTTGACAGGAAAATGGCATGGCAACAGCACCCTCGCTCCGAATAAATAAACCCCACGATGAAGTAAAAGGAGAAGACTAAAAGAAAAAGTGGTGGGGGGAATAAAAGAAGGAAGGAGGGAAAATAAGGAGGGAGGAAGGAAGGAAAAGAATTTACAGCTTTACTAAAGTCTCCTGAGTGATGCCAGAGGGTGAACAGCATTGCCTGCAGCCTAAGGATTCAGTCCATGCATGCTAAGTCTGCTCCTTAGCTTGGTGTCTCCTCCTCCTCTCCCCTACAGAGCCTCCCCTTCTCATCCCCCTTCCTTGCTCCATCTACCTCCCCTGACCATTGCTCACATAAATTCTCTCCCTAAATCCCTAGCCCATACGTGAATTGTCCTGCCTCCTGATCCTTCTCCTCACACCTTTTCCATCTTCCAAATTATGTTCTTCTCTGCATTGTTCTGTGTCCTTTTAAGCCGTGTTAGACTGGACTTTCTTAGTTCCTTCCTTTTCTTCTCTTTTCCATTAGTCTTAACAACAAATCAAAGGCCTACGATGTGAGCAGAAAGAAATATTAGGTTATTAAGTATGAAATGTCTGATTTCCTTAAGTACTAAGTTTGACAGTTGATAGCTCTGACATTTCACTCTGACACTTCTTGTTTTATGATTATTGTGAAAGTACATCCTCATTTTTTCAAATGCATGGTTTGGCTTGTGATTATTTTTCAAATTTTTTTAGAGAAATTTTTATGAAACCATGGATAAGTCAAAAATTTGCATTATTTTCAAGTGTGAGTTCCACCCTGGAAGCAAGGCAGCAGAGATGGCTGGAAATATCAACCAAGTGTTTGGGAAGGATGTGGCTAATGAACGCACATGGATGGTTTGAGGAGTTCCATTCTGGTGATTGGATCTTGAAAATTAGCCACATGAGTGACCAGAGACCAAGGTAGATAGATAATGATGAGCTGAAAGCTGTGGTGGAAGTGAATCCATCTCAACCTATGCGTGAATCAGCAGTAAAGTTTGATGTTACCATTCCAACAATATTGAACCATTTGAAACAAATAGACAAGGTAAAGAAGCTGGACAGATTAAGTTCTACATGAATTAAACAAGTGTCAGAAGAGAAATTATCTCAAAGCTTGCCTTTCTTTTCTATCACGACATAAAGGCAAACCATTTCTACACTATATTTTTACATGTGATGAAAATGGATTCTTTTTGACAATCGCAAGCATTTGGCACAATGGTTGGATAAAGATCAAGTGCCAAAACACAGTCCAAAACCGAATATTCATCAAAAAAAGCTAATGGTGTCTGTTTGGTGGTCCAGCGCTGGTATTATCCACTACAGCTTCATGAAATCTGGTGAATCCATTACAGTGGGTATCTACTGCAGCCAGTTGGATGAACTGATGAGAATGCTTGTGATTAAGCAGCCAAGATTGGTCAATAGAGACAGGCCAACCCTCTTGTAAGACCACATGTCACACAAACAACGCTGCTTAAGCTACAAAGGCTGGACTTGGAAACTCTCTGTCATCCACCATATTCACCAGTTAACACCAACTAACTATACCACTTCTTCCAGGCTTTGGACCACTTCTTGCAAGAAAAAAATTTAATTCTCAACAAGCTGTGGATAACACCTTTTACAATTTCATCACCACTTGTTTTCTAGGCTTCTTCACTGCTGGCATAAACAAGCTACCTGTAAGAGGACAAAACTATTGACAGTTTAGGTGTACACTTTGATTAATTGTAGTGCTTCTTGTTTCTGATACAATAAACTACATTTTTGATTTGAATTAGATATTTCACATTTAATGACCTAATAAGATCTGCCTTATCAGGTAAGGAAGAAAGGCTGTAATTGTCTCTATGTAAATATAAGAGGATGATAAACAAAGATCTATGGGATTGTGATAGTTAACATCTACTAATGCTTAACATATGCTAGGCATTGTTTCCATGGCTTTACATTTCTCAGCTCCTTTAATTCCCTCTATCACCCTACAAAATTTTAAGTACTGCTGTTATCCCCATTTTGTAGAAGAAGACAGAGAAGCCCAAACAGGACAACTAATTTGCCCAAAGTTGCACAGCTTTAAATCTGGCTGAGTATCTTGTACTCAGCCACTAGAGGGGATGGATGCCTGGATAGGTAAATGAATCAGTGTCCAAAGTAATGAAGTGGGCTTTATAGGGATGGAAGTAGGGGATTTGGAATTTTGTGGGTAGGGAGCAAAACATCTGCCAAATAGGTCATAGCCAATGCCAAGAGTGCCTATCACAAACTCATGACAGGGTACAATATTGCCTAAGGTCAATACCTCTCTAGGCAATATTTTCTCAAGGCTGGATTTGTAGGGTAAAATATTATTGAGAAATTATTTTGTATTGACTACGAATTTCATTGGATATAGGAGAGTTAATTAAAGCAGAATGAAAACCAAGCTAACCTCAATGAAGGCCCATATATTAAACTTAGTCCAGAACCCTCAAATTGGTATAGATCTGGGAAGGGCCTACTGATCAAAGGCAGTAGGACATGATCCACATGTCCAATGCATACATGTGGGAATGTCATGACTATTTTTATAGATGCTGCATGAAGGTTGATATGTCATTGCAAAGTGACTCTTCCAATGTTCCCCCAGTCAACCCTATATGTGTCTGATAAGATTAAAAAAAATGATACAAATTGTTCTACAGTTCAAGTAATCTTTTTCTATAAAAATGATTCTTTCTTTTATTTATTTTTCTTTTATATTCACATTTTTTCTCTCTCTCTAGTTCATAAAGGTTTACACTATATCTGATATTGAATTTGACTGAAAGAAATCGTTTTTCACATATTTAGGCTTTAGGAGAAATTCTTCAGGTACATTCTAGAGTCTAGTAATTGACTGTTATTAGTATTAATAGGAATTACACAGCCAAATCCCACTGCCATGCACTGAAAATTTACCCCTTAGGATCAAGCTTCAGTAATAATTTGAAAGTGTTGAAATGTAATTTCCAGTTCACAGACCTCTCAAAAAGGCAAAACAGATATGGGAGTTAGGTTTGAGATAATAGAAAGGAAACTTCTTGGTTTGGACTGCTTAGAATTAGAAATGTATAATAAGTAATCATATTTTCTTAAAAATGTAGGAATCCATTTGCTATAATTCATAAGACTGAATTGATATGTAGGACCAGCAATCATTCTTATGAGACTGTTAATAGTGAATCCTTTCTATGCATTTCTTCAAATAAAGGGTACCTCTGACTGTATTTCTTTCTGTCAGAGCCATTTTCTTGACTTTGCATCTCTGTAATACATATTATTTGACTATCTGGAATATGTATTATTCCCTTGTAAACAGGTTGTGAAAATTACCAGCCCACACAAATTTTATCAGTATATCTCATGCTAGGTTTTATTCCTGATGCAAAATGAAAGAAATTGGCCTTTTTTCCTCTTCACCTGATATAATTTGCTACTTATCTTGAAGGAAAAAAAATGTTTAAGTATGTCAATAATCAACTACTGATGTGTATTTTAAAACGTGGGTAAATTATAAGAGAAAGCAAGCTTGGATTTCCTGATCCTGCCTGTTTAGGCAAGAAACCTTCTGTGTGCATAGTCTCTGCATTAGCCTGGTGCTGTCTGCAGTGATGGCACAAAGAAACCTGCCCAGGCCATTTCTCTACATTAGTATCTTCCATATTTCTAAACTTGATTCAACAATCATTCCACACCAGGGGAGGTATCATGACTTTTGAAATTCTCAGTACCTTTCAATAAAAAAAGATGAAATAATTTTACATAAGCAAGTTTAAAATGTCAGGAGAACAGAAATGGATATATTTGAAATCGTTTCTGAAACAAAATTTGATTTTTGCCAATGGTGCATGAAAAACAATGAAATATCCAGGAAAACATTTTGATATTATACAGTCCTTTTGACAGAGGGTCAGTCTTACACTTCTAAAACTTGACATCCTAAAGTAGTATCAATATGTTTAGTTAGAAGATAAAATATTTTCTGACGGTTGCTTTAAGCAAAACCAGAAATAGGAGGAATTGAAGCAAAATATGTTAATAAACTAAAGCATGTGCGGTTTTACTATGTGCTTAGTGGGGAGTTACGTTTATTATTTTATAATCATCATAATTTTTAAAAATTGCTGTATAAGAGGTTTTAGCAACATCTCTGTGGTGAAACACAAGCATCCAAATCCCCATCCACAAATCTTTACACAAATCTACTTTGAGACATGTGTTTTTTTCTATTCAACAACTGCAGGTGATTTTACTAATGCATCCTGGTAGCCAGAAGCCAGGTCAAAATATCTTGGAAATAGCACATTACATATGTTTTCTGAGAAATTCAAAAGTGGTGCATATCATCAAGGGGTCTGCAGAAAGGAACATAGTATATAAAATGCCAACTTTAGGTAGAGTATAATTTGTTCTTTAATGTGCTTTTCGTCATCTGGAAAAAATTGCTCTATATTCATATAGACATTATGTTTGCAAATGTTTGTCCTAAACTATGAATGGATTTATGAAGATATTTTTCTTCTTAAAAATTGAAAAACAATCACTTTCCTTCTGTGAAAGTAATGTCCATTAATAATTATAATTTGTATTCACAGACTAATATCACTCAAGAGTCCAGGAAGCACTAGTTTTTTTAAAGTGGCTCTCACTTCAAGAATCTCCAGAGAACTTATCCCTGAACCTCCACATTGAAGGCATCCTCAAACTACAGCCCGTGGGCCACATGTGGGCCACCCAGCACATTTATCCTATCCAGCCCTCTGGCCCCTGCCTGTCCTGCTTAGCGGCCCACTCGGTCCCCGGCCCATAGTGCGCACTCTCTAATGGTCTGAGGGACAGTAAACTGGCCTCCTGTTTAAAAAGTTTGAGGACCCCTGGAATAGTTTGTAAAATTTCAACATTTCTAAGAAGGACATGGTCTATAAAGGAGCCCAGGAGTGAAGTGGAGGTATTCCCACCAATGGCACTTTTGAAAATGGAATATAATTCCCGGGTTCCTTGAAATAGAAATCAGTAGTGATGAAAGCTGGTTGCTCCATTTGCTTCTAATGAGTTGGAGGAGGTAAGGTCTGCCCAAGGGGCAAGGGATGGACAGGGCACAGTGCTGAAAACTATCTTCTGTGAGATGAATGGAAAGAAAACCCCATTGCACAATTCTAAAGAGTTAAATTTCTTTAAAAGGCACTGGGCCAATTTAGCATCCCTCTCTTCTTCCCTTTTGATATCTACAGTGTTCTCCATATTTTATTTCCATCTTGCAACCCTGGAACATTTCTGACTATGTACTGCTTGTACTGAGAGCAGACTAAACATAGACTGATTCACAATAGCCTCCTTACCTACTTTGTCCCCACTGGCCGCATCTTGGGTTTTTGGTGCCTTGATACCTCTGCAAAAGGGAGTACCCTGAGCTGGGAATATTCTCCTTCCTTATCATAATTCTACCTTCTTCCAGGGCTCCATTCAAACACCTCTTCAGTTGGAGTTCACCTT